GGGGGGGGGGGGGGGGGGGGGGGGGTCCAGAGCCTATCCAGGAGGTAATAGGCACAAGGCAGGGAACAACCCAGGATGGGGCACCAACCCATCGCAGGGCACACTCAAACATCATTTACTTACACATGCACTAGTTCAGAATCCAGAAAGTAAAAATCCAGACCAAGATTTTGTTTCAGCCAACCAGTTGGGTTCTCTGTGACTGTGACTCTTTATGCTCAACTGGTTGGTTGAAGCGAAAACCTGCTCTGGATTTTGACTTTCTGGACCTGAACTATCCACATTTTCCATGCTACCAGGGTTCTGAGCAAATTTCAGGGAACGCCAGTGCATTAAGGGGTAAATCACACTGATGATTTCTGACGACACTGCAACCATCTATCGCATTAAGAGCTGCATTGCTGCGTCTGCCCCCCACCCCAAGTTGAGTCAGCTGCAACCCCATAGATGCTGGGTCCTGCCCATCAAAGGCTCGGCTTTTGAGGCTCTGACTGATAGCACTGAACTGGAAAATTACCCCCCCACCTCAGCCCTATTCCCAGAATGAAACAGCCTTGCTGTGTGTTTTTAGCCTATGGATTTGCAAGAGAGGCTGGGGGTGGGGATTTATGGAATAATAACGGCAATGGAGATCGCTATATAGATTTCCATAGAGGTTCACTGCGGATTTCAAACTCGGCAGTCACCTGACCAGCCCAACCAATCACGAGGCACTGCTACCCAAACACAACAAACATCCCTTTTTCCATCTAAATAAGCAGAAATGGGAGGTAAAAATAAAAAAGGCCTTTAAAAGGCATCGCAAGCAGCTCCTAAATAAAGAGCAGAGGTCTTCTCTGGGTTACACAGAGACAAAAGGCCTTGATTTCCTACTAAATGCAGCAGGACCGTCTTTCCAACCAATGAGAGCGGAGCCCCTCGAGCACATTCATCCCATAATGAGATGAATAAAGCGAGTTCTCGGGGCTCCGTAATCCCACTCCCAAGGACGGGCAGGCTGGAGCCCCAGTGCCTTTCCTTGTCATCCCGTTGGGAATCGGCGACGGGGCCGTTAAAGGTCACGTCAGCTCGGGGGATCCCCTCATCCTTCTCCGCCCTCCTCACCATCCTGTTACGCCAACAGTGCTGCCTTACTGACCTGTGACATCAGGCATGATGCGAGGTTATAGGGCCCCCTGCTGCCCAGAAACATTCACTACACTTTGTTTGGGATGGGGGGGGGGGGCAAAGTGAATTTTCGAGTGGGGTCCCAGAAACAACAATCCTGTCCCTTGATGTCCACAGACGGGCCAAGTATCATCCCGGTGTAACGTAGTAACTTATTCCCACTCCACAGATTACCCTGACATGGACAGATTCAAAGATTTCTGGGTAAAAAAACATACAGACAGGTGCGTAAAATACAAGTATTCCTCTGTTTGTACACACCATGAATACCTACAGAGTCCCCACCCTAATTCACCACCATCTGCTATAGCGCTCAAAATCTCAGGAGGGCAAACCAGGTGACCTTGATTATCAGTGATTATTCATTTTGCCGAAACCGCTAGAGGCGTAACTTGCGATTTTGTCCCCGGTAACCCGGCATCAATCACGTAGCAGGGAACGGCAGCTCCACCCGCGTTTCGCATGAACAGATCCCGATTAACACGTGACACACCAGGTAACCTGCCATCATAAGTAATAACTGTAAATGACATTAAATGATGCAAGATCCTCCCATACCCTAGAGGGCGTCGTGCTCCAGCAGCTGCACTTAATTACTCAAATTCGATAAACATGATACCTTTGGATTTTAATGTTTAAATATGCCACATTACAGCTCATTTATAGTGATACCCGGCACACCTACTCCTCAGGGTACCACGGGAGAAAGGTCAAAGTTCAGAGCACCAAACCTGAGAGCTGTCTTCTCGGTGACGTCCGGCCGGTCAGCGGTCGGCGGGTCCTCCGCTAGGATCTCCTCCGGACTTCGTGGGTCTGCTGGTGCCTCCCGGTTCGCCTGGTCCCGGTCCCGGTCCTTGATGCCCATCCCCGATGTGATGGCATTCCACAGGGCATTCTGGGATTTCGATCCTGTAGAAAGTCCCTTAGCATCAGTACCAGTCTACGCCCGCGTGACGCACTGGGCAAACTTCACCACTGGCTCCCCCTGTCTGAGACAAAGTGAAACTGGCTTGCTAAGTCGGCACCCCCACGGAAGATGGTGGCTGCCTGTGTTGATCTTTACTGCTCAGCATTGACTCTGCACAATCCCAGCCTGTGTGTCTCTCCTCTGTAAAAATGCAGATGAACACCCGTGACCTGTGGTGACCTGCCCAGGTACCAACTGCACAGAGTGTCCCCTGTAAACCTTATCTGACCCACTATTAACGCCGTTTATTCAGCTATTCTCATATCTGCACTGCAATAATCTGTCACAGAGGAAGGCCTCGCACTTCAGGACATGGGCTAGCTACCTTTGATAGGCTGAATAACCCTTGAGTCACTAATGTCTCGATATACATTTGACCTCTGACCCTTGATTTTTGTTTCTCGGTCTTGTACTTGCCAGCTTTAATACTAAGCTGTCACTATGGCTAGTTTGACAGGCCGCAGATACATCGATGTAATGTCGCCCCCTGGTGTGATATCACTGTCATTGCAACCACATCAGACAAACATATTTTTTAATCTTAGTTGTGCCACTGGTTGACATGTGCAATATCTGCACATAATAAGTTGTGTTTTTGTTTGTGTTTTACTGTCCAATTTCAGAGTGTCCGCACGTAGGGCCAAATGCCGGAACAACTGATTACACACACTGTCTTAATAAGTTGAAATTCACACTAGAGTTCTCAGACTGAGAACGAAATGGATCATAAAATGCACTGGGGAGAACGGAGGGGTTACAGCTCTTTATGAATGGATCTGAGTGCCTGCAGTGGAAGTGATTACCAGCATCGTTTATTACTCTCTCTTTGGGGTCATGTATGTGACCAGCATTAAACCACAGCCTGCAGTGACAGGTGGAGTGGTGGCTCTGGGGCTAGGGATCTGTGCCAGCAACCGGAAGGTTGTCAGTTCAAATCCCATGAATACCTGGAGTGGAATACCTTCGAGCAAAGCCTTTAACCTGCAGTTGCTTCGTCCTGAGTATGATGTTAATCTACATCTAGCCCTGTAAGGAGGCCCTCCAACTTACAGGGGTTGGTGGCTCTCCAGGCACTGGAAAATAAACTCACACTGGCCTGTTTGGACTTGTATGGTGCTGAGGTATTGCCCATCACATGACTGCACTTAGGTTCTCATCCCTGAGGTGTTTGTGGTGTGGTGGGTGATCAGTGCATGCTCCTGTGATCAGTGCATGCTCCTGTGATGAGTACATGCTCCTGTGATGAGTACATGCTCCTGTGATCAGTGCATGCTCCTCGCCTGCATTTACAGGACTGTGCACTGCTGCCACCTACTGGATACCCAAAATATATTGTATGCATCAGTACCTAACAAAAGAACTTAATAATACTCTAGGATTTGATACAGATTTACTTGATGTTGGCATCAGTTTAATATATTGTAATATTAATGAAAATCATTTGTAAAAAGATGATCAAATGATCAAACTTTAGTAACACTAGCTATAACATTTGTAGAATGTTTTGCACCTGATTTGGAAGACAGAACACACCACATTATTATTATTAGATCAATAATAATAATAATAATGTACTGGCGTCCTGTTCCAGGGTATGCTTCCTAGGAAAACCATTTAAATATATTAAAATTTTATTCATTAAATTTGTCTCGGCAGGGAGTCAAATAAAAGCAGACAATTACAAACTCTGCTCCTTAGCAACAATTAGGTTCGTTATAGTTACTATGCAATATAAATGCGAAAAGGAACTATTAACCAACAGCCAGAACAGCCCTGGCGTTTGTCCCCGCGTTGCACAACGAGAGGCAGAAGCTCTCGGGCTGCTTCACGGTGCTGCTCTGCTTTGTAAAGCCGGGGACCGAGGCGTCCTACTCACGGGCGAAGCGGGACAGGGGCCGGGCGGCGCTCTCCCCATCCTCGTTGGCGACTGCGGGGGCAGAGAGAGAGAGAGAGAGAAAAACCTCGGCTGAACCACATTTGGAAAAATGGGCCTGTTACACATCGTCCCCCGAGGCTGCCAATCTGGCTGAGGAGAAGCGTTATAAACACATCACTTTTAAAACAAGGGGGCACGTCATTATACAGACTGATGGCTCTGTGCTGGATCAAAGCGATCCGGGATGCGCTCTTTATAAAAACGAGTGTTTAACAGATCTCTGTTGCACCTCGGTGGAAAATTGACACATTTATTTATTTTAGCCGATCAGAAACGTTCCCAAGAATGCCTTCATATTGTTATTTTCGTTTATATATTTACATAAAGACGGGAGATTGAGGACAAAAATCCAGTAATAATCCTGTAGCTCTTCTGAAGCATCTCTGGCTTTTATGAAGAACTCAACTTGCTTGTAATAATGTCTTTCAGCATTTGTATTTGAACTTTTTCATTCAGTGGGATTTATATTATCATAAACAATTCTTTATTTATTGCATTTTTTTGTTATTCTGTACAAAACGACGCTGTTACTCGGTGATAACCAGAATTAAATTTAATTCATTATTGTTGTCGCAGCATGGAGCCAATTAAATGCGAACAATTCCCAAATCGGCTCCGTAGCAACAGTTGGACTGCGTTTTAGTTGCTATGCAATATAATAAATGTGGGAAGAAATGATTGTTAACAGTAATACAAGTTCCAATTTATCGCGCCATCTATCAAGTCATGCTGTCACTTTCAATGGGGTTCGACAGTCCCCACTTCTGTTATACCACTTAATCTTATGTTATACCACATAGTAAACCGTATATAATGTAGAATACCAAAAATATCCATGTACTCTCTGTTCCCCACAATCGTGACCTAAAATTCACAGGTAATCGAGAGAGATTTTCTCTAGTCTACACGTTTAAAAAAATACAGTGACATGCTTTTTATTCTGACAATGTCAGGCGCCTTTCAATCTTGTCCTAGATTTTAAGCAGCCAAAACAGTCCCTTCCTGCTCTTGAAACACTTATATATTTCTCTGGCGAAAGCTGCAGGTTCTTGTCCTGCTGTGACCTAAATCCTTTTTAAAACGAAGGTCATCCTGTATTTAGCTTCATCCGCCTGCCTTCTGTGATGACCAGTAACAGCCCATAATAATAACACACAGTCTCTATGGCCGTGTGCTATGCCATTTGCAATACTCCGCATTTAGATGTACATTTTTAAGAGTTCAGACATGACTTTTGACTGCTCTTATTGAAAGGTGAGTAAAATATTGCATCCTGCTCCCAGTCATAGGTGACTCTAGGCTTTTCTCCCCGGGGGGTGCAAGGTGAGAGTCATTCATTACAGGCTATGCCAAGCTGAGCTACACATAAAAAATAGTAAATAGATTAAATTATTATTACACATCGTTGTGAGTAACACAAGCCATATTTTCAGATATGACTTCACGATATAATTTTATTTTATAGAAAACAGGTGATTGGGAGTATGGATGGATATGTTCAAACTGTATTTTCATCTGAGCAGAGGAGGGCAATTGCACCCCTGCACCCCCCAGTAAAATCACCTGTGTCCCAGTGGCTCCATCATAGATGGGAATCCACATGTGTATCGCATGATGCTGATCGATGTGCATGCATCACTGCACATCGCCTGTTAACTGGAGCAGACTTGCAAAGCCTGTTCTTCCAAGCAGACCAAGGGGTTTAATATCCTCCCTCCCCCAGGTGAGGCAATCGATAGTTTCAGATGAGAAGAGAGAGTGAGGAAAACGGACTGGGTCCGTCTGGTCAAAGCCACGCTTGATTGGAGGGGAGGAGACATGTGTTGAAAGGAAAAGATGCGATATACAGCAGAAGTGATTACACACACCAGCAAGAATACTATGGGGGATCTGGAGAGACTGACAGCAACACTATGCTTCTTAAGGAGCAGGATTCCTTCATTTATTGCCCGAATGAATCCCATCTTTGTATCACCAGAGCCTGTCGAGACTGAGCTGTGAACAGTGATCCACGGTGGTCGACTGTGATCCACAGTGATCCACGATCGTCGACAGTGATCCACTGCGATCGACTGTGATCCACAATTGTCGACAGTGATCCACGCACGATAGTCAGATATAACCCGGATAGATGTGGAAGTGGAGAGATGAAAGGCCGTGTCACATGTCCTCAAGTGATTCTGTGGGCGGAGCCTGACTTCAGCCATAAGCCTCCAGCTCTGGGTCTCATACTCAGCTGTCCCTGCCTGAAACCCACCTACGCCTTTGCCACCAATAGGAAATGAACAGCACAGCTGCCAATCATTGCCTCTAGCTGCACCCTCCAATTTTCCCTGTAAAACAGTGTAAATAATATCTTTTCAAAACAAGGCTGTGATCATTAGCGCTTCAGGGCAAATATTATTATTGGTAAATGCGATCTCGCTAAGGCTAGCATTTGTGTGGTCCTGCCCTGCTCTTAATTCCTTAGAAATTGCATCCTTTGTCTTCACTGATTTCTGCCAGCAAACCAGTGGCTCCAAGCCACCAATCAGGACCAAGCTGCCAGCAGACCTGTGGCCCCCAGCCACCAATCAAAGCCAAGCTAGCATCCCACACCCTCAGATTCAATGGAGGTTTTTACACCCCAGGTGGTGTCCTACTCCTCGGCTTGACATGCAAATTGGGGCTAAGTTCTGCCCCCCCCCCCCCCACAATGAGGAGGAGAGGGGACCATGTGGGTCTTTGGTAATGTTTGTGGGGGTTGTTGGGCAAACGTTTCTCATTTTACTCCATACCCAAGTCTGACTGTCCAATTAGAAGTGAGTCACATATCTGCACCTAAAGCTTTCTGTGAAACCACAGCAAAATAAACTATTTATTATAATGATGTATAACCTGTAATCATCACCCAGTGAACAGGTGACAGCTGCACCCAAACACTCTAATGCACTTCAATGGGTAATAAGAAAACTAATTCAAACAAGAGCCTTCACGTGAATGCCCCCCCCCCAAACTCTGAGATGCCCCCCCCTTCAGAAAAGAACAACTCCTTCCACCCAGAAAACGCAAGAGGTGAAGCAGGTGCTGTTACTAGGGAGGTATTTGGTAAAGGATTGTGCCCCATATCAGGGTGTTTTTAGGTAAACCTAATGGCCCCCTCAATGGCTGTGAAAATGTGTTTCTCCTGGAGATGCCCCCCCCCCTGCCACCTGTTAACCAGTGCCCCCCCCCCCCCGAATCATGGCCCCTTATCCACTCTCCCCTCGCCGAGATGAGAGCTGTTAAAGTTATCAGTCTTATCCCCCTAATGAGGTTTCTGCTGGGATTCCAGCCGACCATGGCGTTAACACACCGGGATTGGCTTGTTTGGAGTCGCCCACTGTCGCCGCGCAACATCACATCCTTCCCCTGGTCGCCATGGTGATGGTAATCACTCCACAGGCTCAGCTGAGGGCAGGCAGAAAAGGTGTCATGGGGAAGTGATATGGACCAACTTCCAGGCATATTCTCCTGCCGAAATCCCCTCCAGCTCGAGCGACTCAGTGTCAGTTCCTTCTCCTACGGAAAACCTACTCCTTGGATTCCCAGAAGCATCTACTATAGTGAACGGACCTCAGTTTAACACCGTGATGCTTCGCTGATGTTCTACAGCTCAGCTCTTGGCATCAGGTCTCACTTCACTTTAACAACATTCTCAAAAAATGTTTAGTGCTGAGTTTATCTGACCTGCTATTTTCCATGAAAGGTGCAGATGCACCACTTATTAGTTGAAAAAGTGACATCTCTCATCTCCTGATTCCTATGGATATACCTGCTTACGGGCAGCACCCCCTGCCCAGGGCGAAAGCCCCCAGGATTACGTAACACTCGCTCCATCACCTGCAGATGTAATTACCGCTATCACAGGCTTTATGACAACAGAGTCACCACATCCCCGTCTCCATGAATGAAATATGCACCGCTGCACTCTCAGTAAACACGGAGAAGCATCTGATTTACTGAGTAATAAGGCAGAAGAAATGAAAGCCGGATGAACGGGATGATAAAAGGTGATACTAAAGTTAATCGTCAGATCCTCGGAGAATCCGATGCGGGAGCGTGTTAATAATCGACACTTCAAGGCTTGATCTGTCACCCGATACTAAACTAAGGAGAAAGCAACGGACGTACACGTAATGGGGGTCCCTAAAGCCCTCACTGTACTTTCAACAAAGACAAGGGCACATGTGCTCTGGCTAAAACTCCCGTACAGAATGCCACTCTCCATCTTCAAACCCAACAGACGCAGAACATCACCCAGCCAGCCCACGGCACCCGGATGGCCGTTTAGAGAGTTGCGGATCACGACAACATCGAGTCTTCGAACGGACCTGGTGCTGGATGGTAGAGAGAGCGAGGAGAGCGATTCGGGGGGATTCGCAGAGAGACGACAAAGCTTAGCTGAAGTCTGAGCTGAGCCCTTATCCAGGATTAGGCGGGTTTGACCCCCAGGACCTGCTGGACTGCTGCCACCTTACCTATAGTAAAGCTGAAGCCGTCGATGCTGAACGTGGCACTGCGGCATTTCTTGAATCCAAGCTTCCTGCAGTGAGACTCCGTCATGGTACGCGTGGCTCTTCCCGTTTCGTCTTCTCCCTCTACGAGTTTGTCTCTTCTTCATGAAGGGAGGCGGAGGAGTGACTGGCGGGCAGCAGCTTATGCGTGGTGGGGGTGGAGAGGGGCGTGATTGTGGTGGCTGTCTGACCCCAACACCCACTCTCGCTCCATCCTAGAGCTCCAGGTCTCTCCCTCGACATACACCCACCCTCTCCTCCCCGCTTCTGGCCCCCTAGCAGGACCGAGGCGTGTGGGGGCGCCTCCGCACGCTGGACAGAGATCCCCCCGTGAAGCTGGACTCCGCCGGCAGCTCCAGCTCACTCCTCTCTGCGCCTCAAGCTCCCTCATACTCTCTCCAGTCCTTCAAACACGTTGCTCCGTGTCTCATCCGCACACCGCGTCACCCTCTCCGTTTGTTTGCCTGTGTGTGCGAGCTCCTCCGCAAGCTTACATGAACATTCGCGTCAACGTGACCCTGCTCCCGTTCGCGGGAGGGCGCTATTGGGGAAATGAGAGAGCAGGAGGCCCGGGGTACTGAGGACGGGTCCTCGCCCCACATGCCGCCTCTTGTCAGTAAAAAGTCGCTCGTCTTTATGGCGCGGCAATACTGATGGCTTATTCCCTGCTCGCTTACTTGGAGAAGCACACTGGCCATCTGTGGTGCGCCTCCAACTGATGCCTGATGGGAATTACAACGAGGCAACTTGGTAGCTGTTATACAGATTGTCTTCTGGTGCACGTGTTATGCTAACTCAGGCTAACTCTGTTACACATGCTATCAGGGTTCCCAACTTTGGTCTGCTGCCTGGTTAAGTCTGCACACGCATTTGCATGTATGTAACAGTTTTTATCACCTTGTAAATAGTTTGTAGGTTTACAAACTACCCCAACATGTAGCTAATTTTAGGTTTGTAATACAATAATATAGATTTGCTATAAGATTTCTTGCGTGAGAGTCTGAAAGCGTGTCACGCCAGATGCTAACTCAAGTTAACGCTGCGACACATGTCATGCTAATGTTATGCTAGTTCAGGCTAACTCTGACATGCTAAATCACGCTATAGGTTATACTGAGCCACATAGCTTCTGAGTGGTTATCGCCAAGAACAAATAAATGTTTGGTGAGTTTTAGTTTGTCTTTCTAAACCAATCGTCTACACACTGTGGATATACTTGCTTCATATTTGAATCTTCCAGCTCTGATAGACTGAGGCAGACACTGGTCACTCTCCTCTCGAGGCAGATGATCGGTTGACATTTTTTCAAAGATGAATAGATTAGTGGTGCTTGAGGTGTGACATCATGTCCTGCCCAGAGGCAAGGACACTTTCCAGGGGCTGTTCTGGTGGGGGGGGGGCAATGGGGGCCATTTTGTGTACATGCATGCCCTCCCGTGCCTCCCTAAACATGTTGGATCTGAAATAAATGCATTATTATTATTATTATTATTATTCACATTTATATGTGGGCTACATTTTTGTACGCTGGGAACGTGCGAAACACAAACGGAAGCACATTTTCTAGACGGAATCCTAACGCGGGTGCGCTGGGTGGTCCAGTGACTCCAGTTGGTGAAAAGAAGTTAACAGAAAAAAAATAATCAAGCTTGTGGAAGCATGAAAACCTAAACAAGAAATCAGAGTGAGTGGCATGTCTGTTTTAAACTGTAAAATGTAACTGCAAAACAAAATGTATGTTATCCAGCTACTTTCCCGACATGCATTTTGCACACAACATGAATTTAATTAGTTGACAACATGAATTTTGGGAACGGAATGACTTTCTCTTCAGCAGATACATTCAGCCTTCTGTCCACGAGATGCAAGGTGCTGATACCGTGTCAGTTCTGTGTATAAATTTAAACATTCCTTTTGATTTCTGCGCACGAAAGAAAGTGAACTCTTTATGCTTTCTGCTTTCGTGGACGAAATGTAGAACTGGAGTTGGTCTTTCTCTGGACAAAATGTAAGATGGCGTTACTTGAATTCGTCGTATTTTGTGCACGAAAATGAGCGCTTGGCACCTGCCCCCCCCCCCAATAATTGTGATGGCGTTTGGGACAGAGGCAGCCTCGTGCCACGCTGAAATGCTTACCTTTCATCTCCACTGCAGAGAAAGAGCCACCTGCCGCGACACTTTGATGGTGGCCAGTAAAGGCCGGCTCGGATTTTATTAGGAGATTTTTAACGCTCCTGGGGATGATAAGGACCTAATCCTGTTCTGTCCGCGCTGTGCTGGAATGCCGCAAGACTGGGATCAAGCTGTTTCAGGTATTGTGCTTTAATAATGAAGAAAAGCATAAAAGCATGGGTTTCATTTAATGTTTTAAATTCGAAAGCAAGTGCGGCAACAATGTTTGAAGCTTAACTCCCCCCCCCCCCTTACTGGGATGAGTAAAAAATTATGGTACTTGAAGAATGAAAATGACCGAGAAATCACCATTTATAAAGAGATTCTCATTAGTATTAGACAAAGCTTAAATTAATTTAAACAATTTAACTATAAAAGAGAATCCGTCCAATAGGTAGCACCGTTCTTCGAACGCAATCTGCCCAAGATGCTCTCTCCACGGCCGCCAGCGCCGGCCGCCCGGGGCTCTTTCTGCTACGGGCGCACAAATCGGTGGGCATGAAATCAAAAGCCGGGTTCAAAGGGACCGTGAGCCAGCCAACCAAAGATGCGGGGACCGATGATTGCTGGCCCGGCTAGACACACAGCATGCACAATGGCTGCTGCTATGAAGCTGTAAACTCCGTCTGCTTGGCGCGTGTTTCCGTATCTCCGCAAGAGCTCTGCGCAGATCTGATCAATATGGTGCGGACCATCTGTCAAGTGTGTGTGTGTATGTGTGTGTGTATATATATATATATATATATATATATATATATATATATATATATATATATAATATTATATTATATTATATTATATATATTATACACCCGAATAATCTGACCAAAATCTGACAAAGTTGAAACCTGCATAACTGTGAATTCATTGAACTCTGACATAAAATCTTTTTTTTACATCCGTTAATATGACTGCGCAAACTACCTAATTACTGGTCGACATTGTTCAAGTCCTCCGCGTGGTCACCGATGTTTTGGCTACAGATGTAGCCTATATGAAAAAAAGTTGTATTTAAACCTTTACTTTTATCTAACGCCTTTGCCACGGGAAAGTTATTCCGTTATTCTGAAACGCTTTATCATCCGTTAAACCATCCTGTGATCAATCAAAGCACTTGAGTCTGCTGGATGAATGGCTGGTAGACAGGTTCCAGTACATCCATTCATTACCGCTAAAAAATAACTTTGTTGTACCCAGAGCGGTTAGAAAGGAGATGCCATTCTAACAGATTCAAAAGGTAAGCCGCCCTTTAGTTCAGCTCCCTTTCATGTCTCCATAGAAACTGGAGATTTAGTTCAGGTAGCGAGTAAAACTGCGCTTTTTTGTAATTTACAACAAAGTCATAATGACTCACAGTGGCAACATAAATTGTTACTGCATCACTTGCGATCCATAGTAGAGCGTTCATTTGGCACCCGACTAGAGGCACAGTCAATTTACCTTTGGTTATATGTAATTTGGGTTTATGAAGCAACGTGACAGGCTACGTCTGTCTGATGACAGGAGCATTTTTTTCTGATTCGCCAACCATCTCTTTCGGAATAACGTTAGGAAGGAAAACTAGAACCGACAAAGAATGGCGTCAAGTCCGCACAAAGTCGTTTTATTTACTTATTTTTGCTTTATTTTTCCATTCTTGTTTTTTCATTCAGCCGCAGAACAAACACAATCGGGACGACGGAGATTTTCAAGCAGCTTTAATTGGAATTATGACAAGTGCGCAAGAAACAAAAATGCAACGTGTCTGTCAGTCGCTAAATAACAACCTTTTGCCGTGTCACACGTCTTAACTTGATATTTCCATCATGCTTTGTCTCGGAATGAAAGCGCCCACCCACCGCATCACATAAGCTGCTGAATACCCCCCATCCATCCTGTCCTCCCAGAGTGACAGGAGTGAGACACTGCCTGGGCTGGCGTGTAAAGACACGATCACACTCATTTCCCCTCTCAACTCCCAGTCCCAGATCTCCAACCGAAGCACTGCTGCCACCCGACAGTCAATCGTCACTTTATTCATCAACTTTTCCTACCTTCAGCAATCTGTCCGCCTCTCTAAATTATTAATGTGCGCGTAAGCCAGTCAGACATCGTTTTTATACCTTCATAGCAGCATTGCCACAGATTATTACAGATCGTCTCACCACACTCTCCAACGGGCAAGTTCAGAAGCTCGCTAATTAATACATAAAATAGACGCATCAAGTTCAGTAGATTGGCTGCACATCCACTAGATGGCGCTATTCATAAGATTGACGCTTTAAGACACTGGTTTTCGATTTACTGAACACGCACGCTAAAAATAGTTTAAAATGTAAATCTTTATTTAGACATGGATGTTAATGTTCCATCTAGACTAGTTTAAACTTGACTAGACTGGAGACCCAAGCCTACCTACGAAAATAAACTTGACTCAAAATTTGACTCAGAGTCAAATTAAGTGATACATTTAAAGTCCTTTATGTTCCCTTGACATAACATCAACATAGCCTATATGGTAAGCATGCATTTGCAACTGCTTGGTATGTTTTTGTTATAAATGCAACGACGAGCCTGTCACATTTGTTCTCCTTTTGTAGCAATGAATCGACGGGTCTTTCCGACATGGGCCGCCTGCATGCGCTATTTTTTATCAAACGAGACAAATTTTTGCATTTAACTCAGTTAATCTCAGGTGTATTTTACAGGGAAAAACGCGTTGCTCACGTGAAAGTATCCCAGTAAAATAATGTTTTCACCGTTCGTCCAGTTCTTACACTTTGTACTGTTCAAAGTCATGTTCTTAGATTTGAAAGAAATTAAATTCATTCTCATTTCCAAAAACGCGCTGTGCAGGTGCCACGGAAGGGTGGACTGGGCATTTCAGACCCATATAACCCGCCCACCTAAAACCAAAGTAAGCAATTAGGTTAAACTGATTTTCTTGTAGTCTGCTCTACCTCATGCTTTTCCCTCTGAACCAATCGCACGTTTCTTTTTTTGCCAACGTATTTCTCCATGATTTCTAACAATGTAATTGGCCATAATTGGTTCCTTATTTTCTGGTTAGCTATACAATACTGGCGGAGGGCAATACAGTACGTAGCTCTACAGTCTGTGGTCGCCGCAATGACCATGTAGCGCATGCAGAGCAAACAAGAAGATTTAAGCAAAAGGTTTTAAGTAAAGTTCAAAGTCTGTTGCTCCCGTTTAAATATACGCTTCATAATTTAGTTGCTCCCGCCAACTCTGTATTTCAGCGACATATTTTTCTTTATAATTGGCATAATGAAAATATGAAAAATCGCAGTACGTCATTTTCCAATAGCGGTCCACCCCCGAATCAAGGGCGGTAAATGTCGTCCAGCCGTGACTGAAAGCTTTCCCGAAACCCAATGCATGCGTTCAATCGGACCGGGGGCCCTTCCAAGCGGTCGCTTGAATATTCAGTTAAACTGGATATTATTTATTTGATAGAGATTTAACCTTTGCAAAGTGAGGGTTCACTAATAAAATCAGCATTACAGAATGATAAAGGCTTCCAGAGACATGCATCAAGTCGGGGGTATTTACAAACCGCGCGTGCGCGGTCAGAAGTGAGGCAGGGAGGAGACCGACCTAGACAGAGAAAAGCCGTAATTTTAAAAACACATTTTCCTCTCTAAATGGGCTGCCTTTTCGTGGAGCCCTCAAAATGAAAACTTTCAGCTAATCAGTCTATTCATTTAGATTAAATAATACTTTGAATACGCCTATTTATTGTCGTCCAATCTCTGCACCAGAGGCTTTTATATGAAGTCTATTAAAACTAAGACACCCCTTCAGAAACTTTTGGTTATCGGTTTGTCATATTTTCACTTAACCCTGGGGAACCCAGACCACCTTATCATTATAGGATGTCCATTGGCTAAAATGATCATACAGACCCAGTGAACTCAAAAACAGGTGTTTTGTAAAAATAACCCTTTCCCAGTCCATGTTATGAATGTGTCATATACGACCCGCTGGACTGTTCGTGCTGTTCCAACTTGTTAATTTCACCTATGAAATAAGGACAAAAAAGAAGGAAAAACCGAATCTTTGCAACATTCTCATTTTCAAAATGCATTTATTGAGTTTTCCTTTTCATCATTCACCATGTGCTGGCAATAAGACACATGCTTCAAACATGCCAAACCATCAAGAAACAGGTCAAGTGAACGGACCTGCAAAAAGGTGCACTACACACAGAAAGTTTACCTGTGGTGGGTTGTAAGGTCTTGTGCACCGCCTGTATTCCCTCTGTTTTTGTCTGAGGCTGATGTTGAGCACAGAAAAGTTTCAAAACATCCAAAACCTAGTTGTACACGTTCTTTAACATCTAAACATTATAACTGATGATGCAAAATTTCTGCCACTTACCTATTCGCAGCCTGACAGGTGAATCTTTACAGCATGTACAGCAAAAAACCTCAAAACGCGTTGGGGGCCATATTTATTGTGGAAAAAAATCTGGTTAATTCAGTCAGTAATCACTAAATGTCACTGTTACTGGGTAGTATATGGTACAATGGGCTGTAAAGCAAAAAAAAAAATTCTTAACTTTGATGAGTGGGTTGAATGTAAGGCAAAAATAAAAGGGTCGTATATGACCCCGTGGGTTCCCTATGGTTAAAGACCCTTAACTGGTCTCATCTTGCCTTTTGTCCATTCGTTTACAGGCGGGTGGTTTACTTGACCTTTACATTAAGTACTGGCACTATCGTACAACAGCACACTGTCATGGGACTTGAGCTAAAAAAGCTTCTGGCTCTTTAACCACCTGCTGATGTCCCATGTGCTCAGTAATTACATTTCATAACTCCGCATGCATTAATAAATATTTTTAATCTGATCGATGCGGTCCTATGTATATGGCCGTACACGTGGTAATGATGCATCTTTAAAGCTGATGCACATGGATGTGACAAACCTGCACCGAGCGAACAGTTTACCGCATGCATTCATTTACGGTTTGTTCCTCCTCTCGGTAATGAGCACCTACGTGTTGGTCCGGAGACAGACTAATTACACGCCGTCAGCTCGTTAAAGCCGATGGCACGGCGACACAGAGCGATACGTGTAATCAGGCACTTTTCATGTGCGGTGGCCGCCCTGCTCCCGGGGACGTGGGGATAGCTCCCACCGGCGGAAATGACAGGGTGGCACGGCGTGGGTGTGCTGACACGCTTGTGTTTTTTGTTTTTTTTTTGTCGCGGAGTCCCCAGCAGGGGGCAGGCATGAGCTTAGATCACCGGGGGCTGTAGGGTGATCCTCGCATGAATAATAAATAACACAAAACAGAAAAAAATGCATGTTTATGAGTTTCCATTCGCTGATGTAAGCACGTCTTTCTTTTCTGTCTTTGTCGAAACGCTTTTACCTATAGTCCAGGAATACACACGCTAGAGCAGGACTGATACTGATGTGTCTGCATAGGAAACGTGTTGTTTCATTCAGAGTCTCTGGTGCTCCTGTCAGGCTATAAATATAGGTGTCTGCTGGTTTCCTACTGCTGACGAGTCTGCCTCTGAGGCTGGGCAGCCCCGCAGCCGCTCCCCACTCTCCAGCCAGCTCGCCACCAAGGCAACTGCCTGCCCTGGGGGGGGTCGTGCTGCCGGAGGTAGCCCCCATGGGGCAGCGGGGTGATATTTTAGGTACTGTCAAGTGGAGAGGTTCTCCTATCGGGAAGTTGATGAGTCAGGTGAGGTCGGGCCGTGCAGCAGTTCGCCCTCACCACAGGGTGGGGGCGCTGTTCTTACAGGCCTGCGCGCACCCAGCTCAGTTTAAACTATTTAAAGGACGATATAATGTTATAAAGTACGCTTTTTAGAGAACTGGACCTCTCTCTGAATGACTGTAAAATCGCAAGAGTTGTAACTTTGTTGTTAACTCTATAAAGGACTGAGTCTGTATTATGATATAACGAATCCAAATATGTTTTAATCTAAATCTTTGCTTTTGATTAAAGGGCTATTTTATTATTGCTCACCTTCCATATATCCTCAGTCCTTTTATCACCCTCATTGGAGCATCCATTCTTGGCCCCGTAGAACAGGACCCTGTCTCCCGTTTTTGGTCTATACAAACACCTCCTTTCGTTAAACAGCTATCCTACCTATACTCCTACCGATACGTAGCTGCAATTCCGTCCCCATAAAAATCGGGAAGCGTCCTGGATGTTGGTTCACTGGGGCAGTCGGTCTCCGAATACGATCTCACGCCTAATTATCTAAAATCTTGAGTAAGGTCTACAGCCACAATACTCTCCCTTTTGTTTTTAACGATTCTACAACATTTGCGTTTTAGCATTTTCTCGATTACTGAAAGGTGTGGAGCCCAAAGCTTTTTAGCAGAAACACACACAAAAGTCAGCCGGAGAGCTATAGACCCCAAAACTCGTGTCTCAGAATGCGGCGGTTTTCAGAATAGCAACACCGCGCATGGATCATTATTATTTAACCTGAGGTAAAGAGAGTCTTTTATTGCCGCATCAAAGAGAGGGGTCCTGTCATCACGGAACCTGAGAAATAGGCAATGCATATATTTACTGTTTTTCCACGGTCTGACCTTCAAAGGACTCTGTCCGTTCAATGAATGAACATCACAGCCCCGATTTCCGCCACGTCCCGATATACACGAAAACACCACAAATCGTTTATTCCTTGAAATACGTCTTCCTATTTCAGTTAACATTTATTATGCTTACAGTATATGGGCTACACAGGCCAACGTAACAACACCAGTGCTATGAGTGATTGCATAAGGTACTGCATCGCTATGCAGTTTTCGCCGTTTCTGCATCACAATATCTTCAAGTAGACCGTATCCTACGTTTTTTTTTTCCCGAATAATTTGTTGGGATTAAACTTGACACAAGTTACAAACTACTTAGAAATATACCCCATAAAGACGCATAATGACTAAAACTGTCGGCCAGAAGTTTTTGGGCACACAATTCTTGCTTGGTAGTTATTATTCAATCTTAACCCCCAAAAACAGAGGACCGCTTTATATTTTGTGATGCATACAAGTGCGTAGGCCCTTTAAAGAGGGTTTTAACCCTTGTGAAAAAAATTTGTACTAAAGTATTTACTTAAAAATATACTTTTAGCAAAGTTTATTGTGTTATATCCCTAAAAAACGTACTAAAGTGTATTTGATTACAGACATAATTGTATTCAAGTGTGCTTCAGTGTACTTAATTATGTTTAAATGCAAAATATATTTTCTAAAAGTACAGTGTCAGTGTATTACAAATATGTGTAAAGAGAATGCATTTCTGTTACACTTCTATAATTATCAAAGCACACTGTTAATACACTTTAGTACACTATTTTTTCACAAGGGAACAAAAAGAAGCAAAATTAAGTTAAGAGCACTTTACTCCTGCCTATACCTAGGCTCCTTCAACAAGTTGCTTAACGCCTCTTCTGACAAACGTCCACATATTGTGACTTACATGCAGCGATGCCACCGGCGGGCGCCGAGACGGTATCCGGCGTGGTTCGTGCTCCAGGTGGCGGCTGACTGGGAAACGCGGCAGCCCGAGCCGCGCTCCTCTTCCCTCGCACCGAGCGGCTTCGCTCCCGGTCGTGCTGCAGCTCGGATGATACCTTGACAGTGGAACTCTTGGCTTTCGTCAGCGCTGATGTGACGGAGCCCATCGCTGTGCACGCTGATGGGTTTATGAAGTTGGATTAAATGGAAAGATCTTCCATTTAGAGTTTGCTGTTTAATTTGCTGCCCACAGGATATGTCTTGTGCGCTCATTAGCTGTCTATGTAATATAAAATCTATAGCCTACAGCTTCAACAATTAAAGATAGATTTTCGTATTTTCTATAAACTATATTTCCTTCTCAGCCCGTCTGAGCTCTGAGATCCGTTTCCTTCATTATTGAAATGACGCGCTACTCTCGGATTTCCCTCTCTTGGCGATGTATTCCTCCCTCGCAGCTCGGGAAAGCCGCTGTCCCTTCGGCTGCATCTGATGCAGTGGCATGGAAGTTGTGCTGTAGTTTCCACCCCAGCTAAGCCAACTCCCGCCGGCCGGATGCCTGACGCAAACAAGCGCTTGTAATTAGTCTGTCGAGTATCATTGAAAGCGGACGGAGAGAGGGGGGGGCGGCACTTTCCTGGTACCTCACCCCACCACAAGTCTCTCTGTTTCATATTTTAAGACTTCCTGTAGAATATTTAGGCAATTTCATTTAAACAGTCTGTGTTTAAATAAAGTGCACAAAACACATAATAATTCGGTTATTAATTATTAAAAGTATAAATATGTAGCATCTCTGGTTTGAAAGTCCTTGCAAACACTGCGTTTTACATCTATTATTAACTAATCAGTTAGCCTAGTATAACTTAATATTAACCGTATATCAATTAATTATTAATAGTGACCATACATGGTAAGAACTGGTAGTGTAAAAAGGTACGGTGCGTGTCATTATTTTAATGGTTTGTCCTTGAACTCAGTCCCCCTGGTTATTATTAACATGCCAGTCTTGTTGCCGGAATAATAAGCAATTTATTAGCCAAATGTAAGGCGAGAACAGCCCTTGGGATGCCACTTAAAAGTGACATATGTGGTAACTGCGTCGCACGGCGAATTGGGAACAATGTCAAAGCAACGGCAAAATTAGGAAGCTGGTGCGGACCAGGGCGCAGGCAGACGCGCTGAGCGATGCCCAAGGGTAGCCGGTCTAATCTCAGCGGTCGATGCAAACAGATTACACAACTCTAAAAAAAACAGCGCGATGGCTCTTTGATCAGCGGCATGGATATGGGCTGGGTACAGAGTACTGACTAGTAGGCCTACTGCTATATTCCGACCGCATTTAAAACTTGCAGCTCCTTCACCAACTATATGAGTATAAATTAATGTCTCACATTATGAAAAAATACCCTCCTTTAAAACACTGAGAACATGCTTCGTCAACAAAATCTGGAAATAATTTGCACTGGCAACTCGTTTTAGAGATCTTGTGTTGGCTTGGTCTTCATCTGACCGCAAAAAGCAGTGATCCGCTTGGCTCATTGTAATTCATACTGATCATAGGTGCAGCCACAACTATCTCAGACAAAAAAGTATGAAACCACGAGCATTGCGCACCATCCCAGCCTATGAAAGACCAGCACCATGGACAGCTGTCCAATCAGCACCCAGCCAACCAATAGGAAGTCCAGAGCCATGTGACGCTCTACAATCAGAGCCAGTCCAGCCAATAGGAAGTTCCTAATCTTAAGCAGCTGTCCAAACAGTACCACTTCAGGCAGTGGGGGGGTGGGGGCGGTGTAGTACCATGGACAGCAGTCTTGTCAGCATTGTGATTGAAAAAAAGAAACCGTGAATCTCAGGAACCACTGACCGGATGACAAATTAAACCAGAATTGGGAAAAAAAAACACTTCCCGACAGATCCGCTGAGCCTACAGGCCTCCAGAGGCACAAACCCCGGAGCTCTTTAATTAAGTTACAAGCTTCAGGGTTTATTATCGTATATTTATGTACTATAATATGCATTTGCACGTGGATCCTAAAGAAATACGGGACGGTACACCCCCCACCCATGATTTTAATTTGCCGAGAGCTGGGGGGGCTCCCCATAGTAAAGTTTGTCGATTTGGGGGTACGAAATGTATACAAAAATCCGGTACGAATCGCTAGAGGATTTGAGCAAAACTATTTTTCAGGGGCAGTGAGACAAAAAATAGACTGGTATAGAACCGCCTAATATGTCTAATGTTAAGAATGTGTCTAATCTTATGCGTAGGAATATTATCGCAGCATCATGCAGTTCCAGGTGCTGCCAGTGGAGGGCGACCTTATAAAATGAATGTAAGAGCTGTACAACTTTGGTTTATGGGCATGAATTAGGCTACTTGAAGTAGATGGAAACGCTCCCATAGTGAACATAACATAAAAGAACATTTAGTTGTATGTCATTTTTATTTGTTTCATTGTACTATTTATTTTATAGTTGCCGATTCGGTTTTACTTTAATGTGGATTGAATTTTGGGATTACAATTAACACTGTAAGCTTTCGACTGTAGGGTGAACATCATGCACTAAATGGACTGACATGATTGGGCAGGGTGTCTCTGACTTGTAGGGGTGTGGCCATTCCACAGTTTCATACTTAAGACCAATCCGGGGGGGTGGCGGTCTCGAAGCAGTCGTCCTATCAAGAGATTCGGGGCATGAAATGTTGGTTTTCAAATGCGCTTGAAGCATCGTGTCTGTTTCAGGATTCTGCGGTTCAGCGTGAGTCACACGTCTTGTGACGGTCATGCAGTCTTATGGGGGGCAGAGGAGGAAGGCTTTTAGGGCAAAGGGTGCCTGGGATTACCCCATGGGACAGAGGAGTCAGAGCAAGACTTAACTATCGGGGCTCACTGTAGGCCTGACTTTTATGCTCTCGCATAAAACTACTGATAACGATTTTAACAACTGTCACATTACTGTCCTACATAAAACAGCCATTATGGGAGAACCCCCCCCCCCCTTAGTCCTATGTTAGCTTTCTGTTCCTATCTCTTATATTAAACGGGTCAGTGCCGACCCGTGTCATAAATCAGCCATAAAGTACCCTCAAAACAATTATTTATCATCTAATTTGTTTCTTACTTCTTGGTTACCTTGTTAGGCTTCCTTATCCATGAAAAGACTGGTTTTAATATTTTTGGTGTGGCTTTCTGGACCTTTCTTTTGACGGCATACCTCTCGTTTTCAATAAAAAAAAATAATGGTAAATAAACCTCAAGAGAATTATATAAATAAACTGAATTGGTCTTATCTTGCCTTACATGCCTAGTGGGGAAAAAAACAGAGCTGTTATAATTTAGTTATTTTTTTATTATTTTGTTTAAATAGAGGTTCCTGACAAAGTCAAAAAGCCTTGATACAATACACAAATTTTGTGGTGCTTTTATGCATTTTAAACTTACAAACGGGTTGGTGCTAACCCTTACAGGATATCAAGGTTAACGAAATTTGCTCAGGGTCCTCTGACTATGTCAATGTGTCTCTGCACGAATACACATATTACGCATGTCAACTGCAGGTTGACAGGCTTGACTCAACAGCGACCTAAAATCATGATATCGACTCTCTTCTCTCTCTCTCTATACTCTTCTGCCTAGGATTTAATTGCATTAGTTCACAATGCGTGCATCATATTATCAGAACAATCTTTAATTATGCGGATGGCTCATTCCATCGATCGTCTTGGCTTTTCCCACGCTGCCTTGTAGAGGGTTATTCCGTGCCCGTTAGATGACTAAGGCAGTAAAAAAAAACCTCAATCCATTCTATTCATCAGGCAGGAAAAACCCTTCATTTCTATCAGCTACTTAAGATTTTACTGTAAGCTGGATGAACATATTCACACTTCTGAGTTGTAGTCATGTGACAAAATGGCCTAATAATTATTGGTTGTTGCCAAATTCTTGGTACCGGTTCCTGGTGATTTGATTTATCATCCTCTGTTAAGCTACACTCTATTTCAGTGACCCACGAATTACGGATGTTAGATTAAGTGCCTGGGGACAAAAGCACACTATAGGTTTTGCCCCAATTGTCCTGGAATCTGCCTCATTACTAAGATGCATCTATTACTTTGATTTAAAATTTTTTTTGATTAGACATCTTAACTGCCGGTTGGACTAATCAAGTGATATATTTTATTTCATCGCACCACAAACAAACCTTTTTTATGCATTAAAATAACCCATCCATCTATTTTCCAGAGCCTATGTTGGACGCTACAGATACAAGGCAGGGAACAACCCAGGATGGGGCTCCAACTCCTCACAGGCCACACTTATACACCTATGGGCAATTTGGTAACTCAAATCAGCCTCGGCATGTTCTTGAACTATGGGGGGAGGGGACCGGAATACATACTGTAGAGGAAACCCCACCATGACACAGAGAGACCATGCAAACTCCACACACATGGAACCCTGGCAGAGACTCGAACCCGGGTCCCAGAGGTGTGAGGCAAAAGTACAAACCACTGAGTCACCGTGCCACCTGTACATGTTTCTGTACGTGAGAACAGTCTGTATTTTATTTTAGGGCAAAACACCTTAGAAACTCACTCCAGCTGCTGGACTTGCAGAGTGTAACTCGATTAAACATGTATCCTATGTGATTTGGCTGTCAGGCAAGTGCGTGTCAGAGGGAGAGCTGACTGAATAACAAATCTTTATTGTGTTGAATAAAGCCGGAGTTTTAAGAAGCCCAAAGGCATATTTTAGGCCATAATAGTCCCACACAATGTGAATTATTTACCTCCATTAGACCTACTGATTCCTTCCTCAAATAGACAGTTCAGAATTTTGTCTCACACGATTCACACTAATAGAGGATAGTACTTTAAAGAAACAGTGAAGTTTTTTCAAAGATTTATTGGTGTACAGTTTGTTGTGCTCTGTGTGGCAAAAAAAAGCTCTTAATGAAAATGTCTACTAGTGCAGAAATTATTGCTGTTGTGTATTTGGTATTTAGTCTGTGTCTGAATATAAATTTTGCTAAAAGGATTGTTCTTCAAAGCTATAGTTCATGCCTACAGCACCTACACCTAACAGAAGGCACTTTAAAGCTTTTGTTTCTGTCTTATTTCATCTTTAAAACGTAGTTTTCTTTCCTAGTTCTCTCCCTCCGGAAGTGCATGTCCACCATTGCCGTTTGTTTCACAGTTGCCATTTCCTCGCTCTCCATGTCCGAGGGTTCACTCCAGGTCATCGAGGGACTCGTTGAGCACCTGTTTGGCGTGGAGGCGGGGGTGGGGAATGGAGAGGGTTAAGAGGCTGGCTGTGTGGTCTACAGCAGCAAGGGCACAGACCTCCCCGTTTTCCTCCACCTTTTGTCCATGGCTCGTCTCACGTGTGTCACTCTCTGTGACCCGTGCGGCCAAATGTCACTCGTCTAATTCTTTCACTTGCGCATTTCCGCAAATGGAAGAAGCAAGACTCAGGAACAGATGGAAGATTGTCGTTTACAAAATATCTGTCCTATTTTGACTTTTGCAGCCTATGCATGCATTTCTTTTTTGCACGATCAGTGTGCTCTTATACATTTATCATCACTGGTTGTTTTTTTCTGTGCATTATCTTGCAGACATCTGTATTCCGTTATTTTTATGGGATTGGGGTTTCATCGTGATGGGGCCTGACATGACATCCTTACCTCGCCATCTCTGGTCTCAATGGTCTTAATAACAACCTTCTTGGATGTATAGCTGTCAATCATGGGCTTGGCCTCGAGGATGGCGTCTGTATGGACAGATAAGGTGGCGTGGTGACTCACGGAACTTTCCTTCCTCTGCGGACAGCGCCGTGAAGATTCATAAGATATTAGCTTTAGCTTTAAATGAAATAGGACGTGGGGGGGAGGTACCTTTCAGGTTGAAAGCAGCAAAGTTGGGCAGAGGAGTGCTGATGCTATGGGGAAAAGCAGAGAAGAAGAGAAGTGTAATTCAATACACTTATATACTGCACATTCACAGCTGTTAAGATGCAAGGAATCTCGAGCTTCTCCACATTAATTACCACCATCTAAGGCTATCGGTCATGACCTCAACTCTGTCATAATCCCTCAACCATAAACACCCCCAAAATGCTATGCATCTATGGCCTAGTGTCAGAGATTAGGCTTC